ATCTTTTGTATAAAACACTGAAGATATAATTTATTAGTGCAAAGGGGACATATGATAATGCCAAAAATCTCATTTTACCACTAAAAATGGCCTATTTATATGTAGCCAGTGACAAAGTAGGAGCATATGACTAACATGATTAATAATTCAGCTTCAGAATCATGATTATTTGTATTCTGGTGTTATCATTGCCCTGTTCGAGTCAACACTAAATTGAGCTTTTTAATCATCAGCACATTTTGTCATTTGTTGCTCTGTAGCAGGGGTGGGCAAACTCGTTCCTTGAGGGCTGTTGTCCTGCATAGTTTAGCTCCAACACTAATCAAACACACCTCAACATGCTAATCAGTTTCTTCAGGATCACTAGAAGTCTATAGGCTGGTGTGTTTGATTAGAGTTGGAGCTAAATTGTGCAGGACACCAGCCCTCTAGGACTGAGTTTGCCCACCCCTGCTCTATAGTATGTCTTAGAAGTATTGTAATGATAATGAAACCGAACAAATCCTTTTTTTTTTTGCCTTTAAACATAGCAATGATATTTTATTGTGACTTTAATATCATGAGTTTAGTGTATGATTACACCCCTAATCCACATTGGCATGTAAATATTGGTCTGTGTATGGAATGTTGTGTAGAAGACGGCAAAAAAAAAAAAGGAATGAGATCAGCACACAGGTATAAATGCATTATGAGCAAATAATATTTCCAAGCTATTGAGCCCCATCCAACAGGCCTGGATATTAATGACCTTGTTGCTCTGTGACATCGCCACAGTGTCCCCTTTAAAGCAGATTATGTTGCCATGACAACCATGCATCATTCCTCAGGAGTCAGCAATCTACCGCTTGAGCTCTTTCAATATTTCTCCTATAGTTTTAGAGTGTGACGTATGTCAGGCAATCTGGTGTTCACAGGTTAAAGCTGAAGATATTCATGGGAGTATTAACAACTCAAGATCTTTGATTTAAGAAAAACAAACCACAAAAATGAATAGTTATCATGACGCTTCCCCAGATGGCATTTAAGAATTGCAAGAATCTAATATGTTATGTTTAATCATTCAAATGAGATATTGTTTAATTAAATATGAAAAGATGTTTATGTTCATGTTAACCTCTGCTTAAATCAAGCTTTAAAAAATGTATTGGTATTCAATTGTTTTAAGAAAAAAAGCACAGTAAGAGCTAAGTAATATAACACAATGCATAAACATGCATTAAATATTTATATTTAGCAGTTTACATGTGTTTGTTGCCTCAATACAAGCATACTCTGCAAATATACACGTTAAAACAACAAAAGATACATTTAAACAACTACATTCTCATTGGAGGGACTCTGAATAAGATTTTAATTTGTTTATGTATTCTGACGAGCTGTAAAAAAATAAGATGCATGGCTCAGTTTTTTCATCCTGCTTCTCCAGTTTTCAAAATAAGAGTTCCAGATACATAGTATGTTTAATAAAAGCATATTTAAACTTGAAGATAAGATGGAAAAAAAACGTTGTCGAAATATCGCTTGGAAATGTTGTGGCCAATCAATAGCAGCCTGGGGCGTGCATATTAATAAGTCCGTGTTTAGTTCCGATTGGCCTGTTTTTTCACTGGGATTTTACACTCATCGGATTTATGTGAAACTGAGAAAACAATGGTGTTCGATGCTCACGGTATGTAATTACCATGTAGTAAACTTTTATTATTCAGCTATCCAGATTCTATGGCACCTTTAAAAATGTATATTGTTATTGAGTATCGGAAAATTTCAATATTCAATGTTTCATTCATATTGTTATTGAAATACACAGGAAAAACCTAATAAAAGTGCAACAAATGAAATACTTAAAGTTTGTTTTGAACATTTTTTTTATATTAGATTAAAAACTTTATGACAAGCAAAAAAGCATGACAAAAGTGTTTTTGCCTGCAGTGTCCTGCCTTAACCAAACTAGATTCATGCATGACCTTTAGTGATTATTGCAGGGTCTAGTGCAGTAAAATGTAGCAGCTCAGGCCACAATCCTATTTCCTCATATGAATGAACTCGAAGTATCAGGTGGAAATGAGACTCCAGCTCTTTGAAAGCTGTGCAATTCAGTGTGATTTCCAAGACTGGCTTTAATACTCCATCTAAAAGATGGTAAGTTCGCTTGTCCTTCAGGGGAAAGTGAGAGAACATTTGCTTTTCATCTCTATCACATTCAAACTGCATAACTCTACTTGTCTCCGGTGTCTTCTATGGTTGAACACCTTCCGTAATTGATCTGCTTGCTCACGGGGTGTGTTTTAGGGATGGATATTGATGGTGCCAGGCAGGAGGTAACACTTAGTTTCACACAGATATTATGGCATTCAGGAAAGCCACTGCCACAGTATACAAATAGTACAATTAGTCCTTCTAATAACAGATAAATTTAAAGTAATTTAAAGCAAAAATGGGGCTAATTCCAAATTTACTAAGATAATAAATATAAATTCAAGCACATTTATGTTGCATCTAAATATGTAAACCAATGATTAAAGGAAAATTGTCATCATTTATTCACCTTTGAAGTTGTTTCAAACCTGAGTTTCTTATTTCTGTTGAACAAAAATCTTTTTTTTTTTTTAGGACATTTGAAAAATGTTGGTATCCATTGACATAATAAAATAAGATACTTGGATAGTCAATGGCTACAGTTTTCAAAATATATTCTTTTGTTACAACTAGTTATACCAATTGTAATTTGTGCGTCAGTAGCAATGGTTTTAATATAATAAAACCATGTTAAATTAGCATGAGTTAATTTTTCATGAGTGTTTATAGTATTTTTCATCTCTGCAGGAACAAGACATCAACACAACGTCATATTGACGTTTTACCCCGACATACCCCAACATTGGGATGTTTTTATTTTGTTTGGAAATAAAAATCGGGTTGATGTTAAAACTCAACATGCCAACGTCAATGTCCAACATCCAACTTAAAATTAACCTAGAATCAACCAAATAGCAACGTCTGCTTAAGATACACCTGTAGACGTTACCACTATGACATCTATCAGATGTTGGATTTTGGTCACTTTCTAACACAACCTAAAATCAACTAAATATCAACATAATTTTACCTCGTTATTGGACATTAAAATAACGTCCTTAGATGCTGGCTAGACATTGAATTTTGGTCACCTGACGTCATGATCTAAATCTAACCTAATATTAGGGGTGAGGTTTTCTCATTTTAATGTTCTAAGTTTAGCATAGTCACATCACTTACACCAGATTAACTTTAGAAATAAATAGAATAGAAATAGAAATTTAAAGTCATAGGCTACATTTGATAATATATCAAATGAAATAGTTTTGAACAATTTTACGAAGAAAGTGCTGGATCAGTGTCATCAAGATTGTGTGAAATTTGGCCCTTGCTTGTAGCCTGGTGTTAGGATGTGTTTTTTTGTAATCTAACCAGAAATAGACTATAGCTGCGTCCGAAATCGCATACCTCCATACTATATATTACGCTAAAAACAGTATGCGAGCTAAGTAGTATGTAGTATTGAATTTTGGCTACCTGACATCATGACCTAAATGTAACCTAATTATAATGCCTCATGATGTTGTGTGCCTGTGATGGGTCACTGTGAGTTGGGATTGTTTTCACGAAAAATGTATGTATGCAAAACTTTCTAAAGTTATTAATTATTATATTTTTCTAATGCAGCATCATCATGTAAACATAAGCTTAGAAGTAACATACCCCATGGATTTATCTTGTTTGTATCACTTACGTGGTCATCCCTTTCAAAAATTAACCATGGTATGATTACAAAGAAATTAAAGATTTTGTTATTAAACCACAGTAACCACAAATTAATGATTAACAAAGTAACTTTCTACACTAACCAGTTCAACACTATTTGTAAAAAACAAAAAAAAACAAAAAAACAAAAAAAAAAACACAAAAAAAAACAATAGCCTACTTCAAAACCTTGTTTGCTATACTTTTGCCATTATAAAACCATAGGTTATTTTCTTAAAGTTTGCGATTAGATACTTATTTTTATGTTTGTTCCATAAAAAAAAATACTCAAAGTTAAGGGATAGTAAAGTGATAGTTCACCTCAAACCGAATATTCTGTCATCATTTACTCACCTCCAAACCTGAACACAAAAGAAGATATTTTGAAGAAGGCTGGAAACATTTAAACATTGACTTCCATAGTATTTGTTTTTCTATGAAAGTCAGCGGTTACAGCCATTCACCTCTCTTTAAAGTTTCTCCTTTTGTGTTCAGAATAATTAAGAAACACATTAAGTTTTGTAACCACTTGAGGGTGAGTGAAGAGTGAGTAATTTTCATTTTTGGAGAATCTATCCATTTAATTAATAATTTGAAACGTTAAACTACATAAGAAGGCTAAAATACAAAAGCTTCCTTAAATTATTTCAACCTTTAACGAAGGCATAAAATTGTTTTAGGTTGCGCGCTCAGCAAAGGCCAGTGCGCGCGCACATGTATACCTTCTTCATTTCTCTTTCGCGCGCTCCCTCTTTCCTCTGTAGCACTGTAAACCGTTTCTCTCTCTCTCTATCTCTATCTCTCTATCTCTCTCTCCCGCTCTCTCTCTTTCTCTCTCTTTCTCCCACTCCCTCTCTCCCGCTCTCTCACTCTCTCTCCTCCATCCCCATTCCTCCACGATTACCGCTCATGTTTTCCTCTGGTGATTTTCATCCTTCATCTGGCGGTTATGTCTCGCGCTTACGACACGCTCTCTCGCCGGCGACCGGGCCCTGCCTTTCTTAACCGGTGTCACAGCTCCTTCTTCGACAGATAAAGCCGGCGGTGAGCTTTTTCCGCGGTTACAACTCTCTTCACATCGCGCTCTTCGTCGCAAAAATGATTAATTCCGCTCAGCCGACGCCTGTCAGGATGAAGCATCACTCCGCGCGCGCGGCGGTGGCGATGATGAGGATGATAGGCTGTAATAATGGTCGTTATGCGCGGAATTTTCTCCACAGCGACTGCGTTATCAACGAAAAGACTGTCGTGCTGCAGAAGAAGGATAACGAGGGATTCGGGTTCGTGTTGAGAGGGGCGAAAGGTAGGGAAAAGACGGACATGTTATCATAACTGTTCCTCACTTCATGCTTCACACCCTCGAGAATCAGACGCTGTTGGTTCTTCATTTAACGCTATTATCCCAATCCCCGTTTTATGTACCCCCTCACTTAACGTCATTTCTGTTGATTTCAAAGCGCGTCATCGCGCGCGCACTTGATGTGATGTGTCTGCGTGGCTTGAGCTGCATGAATTGCATCCATGTCAAGAAGTTGTGGATTAACGCGTCTCTTGGTGTCAGCGTGTCCATCACTTGACTGCGATGAATTTAAGTGGGCTTGTCAAATCTGTGAAGTGTAAACAGAGACCCCCACCCACTCCCTGCTCCATGTGCTTGGCTTGTGTTTGACTGCATTAGGGTTTTGCTGGCACTTTGTCTCGAGGGCTTCCTGACAGTCCAGCTGTTTCCTGCTGTGCTTGAAGAGTTTAATTCACTTGCAAATCCTTTATATAAATGGCCTGAATCATTTGCGATGCATTAAAGGGATAGTTCACCCCCAAAATGTAAATTTAATCATCATTACTCACTCTCTAGAGGAGTTTGTTCTTTCGGCTGAAAGCAAAAGAAGATATTGTAAAGAATGTTGGAAACAGACATTCATAGTAAGAAAAATACTATTAAAGACAATGGCTGTACAACATTCTTCAAAATATCTCTGTGTTTATCATAAAGAAAACACTCAGGTTTGGAACAACTGACTAAACGATGACAGAAATTTTCCTTTTTGGGTGGTGAACAATCCCTTAAACTGCTCCTCAAAGTGTCGCAGCTGCATTGCTTTCAGTTTCAGCTCATCTTGAAGTTGCATGTGGTGCACTGTTTGACTGTTTTCTGCATCAGCTCTCGCGATGGCCCTCGTTCTGTCAGGCTCCAGACCAGTGCTTCTCCCCACACTGTCAGCGGTGACATCCATGCATGCATTTTCTCTGGTTATATAAATGTCCCAACTCCTGCATTCATTTTTGATTTGGTCGGATGGATGCATTGCAGCTTGCATCATGTCTCATCCGACCAGATGCTCTTGTTTAACTGCACTCATTATCCATTGTGCTAGCATGAACTCGTTTCATAGGAATTGCATTCATTCACATCATACGTGTAAAAGCATGTTGTTTTTAGCATGTCTTTGAGTAATGTCAAGTTGAATTATGGAATAGAGGATGATGAATAATACATTGCCTGAATAATAATATTATATTATGATGAATGAATCTATCTATCTATCTATCTATCTATCTATCTATCTATCTATCTATCTATCTATCTATCTATCTATCTATCTATCTATCTATCTATCTATCTATCTATCTATCTATCTATCTTATCTGTCTGTCTGTCTGTCTGTCTGTCTGTCTATCTGTCTGTCTGTCTGTCTGTCTGTCTATCTATCTATCTATCTATCTATCTATCTATCTATCTATCTATCTATAATAAAACAACTAATACGTGTGTATTTAAATATATAGACACATTTTATGGCTTATTTTTAGATACTTTTTGAAAGTTTTTTCTGTGTAGACATGTATATGTTTTACTCATAAAATATATTGAATATCTAATTTATTTTTACAATGTGTATATATAATTTATAGGTAAGATAAAGCATTTAAATATTTACATATATTTTTACATATATTTATTAAATAATATATATATATATATATAAATATAGATGTTTTAACGTACAAATAATATAAATTTATAATTGAAAAAAATATGTTTATAAATACAAAACAAATAGTATAAAAATAAACTAAATGTTTAATAATAGTATTAATAATAATATACATTTTCATAAACGTTTTACTTAAAATGAAGTGTAGTCTAAGATTTAGCTTTAATCTGGGCTCCTAAAACTAGCACAATGTCTTTTGATTCTCACAATCTCTTTCTTTTGCTTCTGTCTCGCCTGGATCGGCCTGGACGTTAGCGGATACCCCCATTGAGGAGTTCACTCCCACTCCAGCCTTCCCTGCGTTACAGTATCTGGAGTCTGTGGATGAGGGAGGGGTGGCATGGAAAGCTGGTTTAAGAACAGGAGACTTCCTCATCGAGGTAAGAAAACGATTGGGTTTCCTTAAGCTTATGTTTTTTTTCTGCTTGCTGAAGGGATGGAAAGGTCCCTGATCAGCTGGAACAAGTGATGTCCGAACCAATGCAGGGCACTTCATCTTGAACTTGCTGCTGAATCATTCACACGAATGTTTGTGCACAGTCTGAGTTTGTGAATACGAGGAAAGGTCATGGTTACATCTTTAATGAGACCGAGGAGCTTAGAGATCCAGGAGATGGAGAAAGCTGTGAATGCACAGAGGTCTTTCCTGTGCAGAAAACTCCCCCCACCTCCATGTCTCCAGAGTTCTTTGGTCTGGGTTGCATTGAAAGGGCTAACCTTTGCGCAGGCAATCTGGCTTATCTTTTTTTTAATTCTCACTTTTAATGAATGAGGGTGTAACCTTGACACTCTGAATTCAGTTGGAAGTTGAAAATGTCAGGCCGGTAATCACCTATCATAACTCTTTGTAGAAGTTGGGCTTTGGATCCGATAGTTGTCTGAGAGTGATCTTGCATTTATTGGATGTCGTAAATTTTTAATGCCTCCGAGGTACTCTGGATCTGTAACCTGTCAAGTCCTAAAAAGCAGCAAGGACAGCTATGAAGTATTGAGATAAGAGCTCACATTGACCATCTTTAAGTCCGACGTCAAATCAAAATAAAGCTTATTTTAGATGTTAGTAGCAGTATGTTAGCCTTAAGAATAGGGCTGCATTGGTAAAATCTGATATTGCAATGTTTTATTTTTCTTCGATAGATATTCTTTCACAACGTGGTTCATTTGACCATTTTGCTTTCTGGAGAGTCTATCAGTATTCAGGTACAGAAATTGAATTATCACAATGCAAAAAAAAAAAGAATTCTTACTTTGCTTTGTCTCATTTCTAGTATCAATATCTAAAAATTGTTAGATCAAATAAAACTATTTTTGTGTTTCATCTTCAGAAGAAATAAGTGACAATTATGAGTTTATCCAAGCAACATTATCTACCAACAGGATACGTAAAATATTTATATTTTTGCCTGGAAATGTAGATATTTGGACTATAAACAATAAACAAAATTGCACTATGGCATTTATTGACCAAACACCATTTAATATTGATAAAAAAAGATTCGGTATTTGGGTAAGTTTTGGTATGAAGACTTTAGTTTTTGTTAATGTGGATGCTGAGCGCGCGCCTTGGAAGCAAGGCTGATAAACTTAGGTTCTAAGTTTGTCATTTCCAATGGAGGAGTGCAACTTGCATGAAACGCACATTGGAGCGTCATGCACATGTTGTGCAAGCGGCACACACATACACGTGACGCGAGCATTTTCCAGCCTCACCTAGTTGAAAATATCAGAACTTTTCAGAATGCCACGTGAGCACCGCGATTCATGCAAATAGAACTAACCCATTTGCTTGACCCTTTGTATGGAATATACACATTTCAGTAATAACGGTATACTAATTACCTCAGACAAACAGTGCACACACAAACACTACAGTGCTTTTTACTTTTGTACATAGATACGAGACCTAGATACGAGAGACACCAGAGTGCCGTAAAGCAGCAGTGAAGAGACTGTAAATATAAAAAGATGTAAGGATGCCACCAGAGTGGCTTTTTGGTTTCTTTTCTTGTGCAACCCAGCCACTAGCTCCCCATCTGAAAGATTGTTTAGCATGGGGTTATGTAGTCATCCAAATTCACAATTTGTAATGTTTCAGTATGTATTTCAATAATGATGGCTGGTTCTTTAAGCTCATATTTGATTATGATCATTTGTTTTGTTTACAGAGTTTGAGGTTTACTGTATTGTTATTATTCACACCTTACAGATGTTGATCTAAATTGTCCGTAGTGGATTCGTGTGAATGAGTGTGTATGGATATTTTCCAGTGATGGGTTGCAGCTGTAAAACTTATGCTGGATAAGTTGGCAGTTCCTTCCGCTGTGGCGACCCCAGATTATTAATTAAAAATATTAAATAAGTGAAGTTTATTTATAAACTAATTTCCAGAGGATCACATGCTTATGATTGCTTGCAATTGGCCCGCATTATTCAATTCATGATTTACCAATCAGACGATTCCTAAGCCACTATAAGTACTCTAAGTTCCATATGACAGCCATCTTTGTTTTGAAGAATCCCTCTTCCACCCCTATTTCTCCTCCTTTCCTAGATGGGTGGCATGCTGGCCCAGTGGTTAGCACTTTTGCCTTACAGCAAGAACGTCACTGGTTCTAATCCTTACCAAGCCAGCCGATGTTTCTGTGCAGAGTTTACACGTTCTCCCCGTGCTTACGTGGGTTTCCCCGGGTTCCCCGATTTCATGCAACTTAAGTTAATTGACTAATTCCAAATCAGCACCATAGACATGCTCCTAGTAAGTAGTCATCTCTAAAGAGCAATCACTATCTGTTTTAATTTAACTTTTGTTAAAACTTAGGACTTCAAATCGATGGTTAGATTTTAATGGTGTAAAGTCACGATTCAACAAATGACTAGGGTTCGAAATGATGTTCCTTGCCAGCCTTGTGATGTTCTTGTAATACGAAACGTCATAATTTCATCAGTGGTTTTCCTACTATCTTTGAGCTATCAACTTAGTTTTTCAACTCACAGACAGACTCATATACCATACAGAATTACAATAATGCACCTCCAAACATCATAATTTCTTGCGCCCAATTGTTTTGAACTCCTAAAACCACATGCAAATGATAAACTTTTACTCTATTATGGTTAAATTTAGCAGTGACTCTAAATCGCATGTGTTCTGTGGCTCCTTGTCAACTATAATTCCGACTCAACATTGCATATCTTGCGATGTGACTATTGCGCATGCACACATTGCAATATCATAACTGAAATGATACATTGTGCAGACCTACTTGACCTACAGTGACAAAATTTGCTTTGAGAAGAAAATATAAACATGCAGAGCTTGCAATTTGTCACTTTTGCCTATAATAAATTGATATATATATATATATATATATATATATATATATATATATATATATATATATATATTTTTTTTTTTTTTTTTTTTTTCAATAATAATTTTTAGGGGGTGTTTACCTTTATTAGATAGGACTGTGACGGAAATACAGGAAAACATTAGGAGCAAAGAGAGGGGAAGGATAAGCACAGGACCCCAAGCCGGGAATCGTACTGGGGTCGCCATGAGCACCATGGTGCCATACGTCAGCGCACTTAACCACTAGGCTATTGGCACCGACATGCATTGATATTTTTGACATCACCTCAAATTTAATCTTCTGACCAATCAAATGCTCTCTAGTATCTGACATGTCCCATCCTCTTCAAGACGCTATTGCCATGTGCTTGAGCTCAACCACTCTCACTGGCAGAGCTGTGATAAAAACAAAACACTATTGACTGTTATTTTTTTTTTTAAGGGAAGAGCTACAGTATGTCCCACCCTGTTTTCAGCTTTCAGTTTAAATTATGTCAAACATCAAACTAAAATGACATTTCAAAGCACTTCATGGGACCTTTAACCACCTTGTGGCTTGTTAAAGGAGTGGGATTGTTTTAATTTTTTTAGATGTAATTTATGAATTGTAGTAACTGCAACACAATATGGTTTAAAAACCTAGTAATCTTAGAAGTAGGTGGTTATAAGCAAGACCCAAATCAGTTTTATTTTCAGAGCATGTCATTGTGATCTAAAATAGCTCAATAGGATGCCTTGAAGGTTTGTGCATTCATTTGGCAGACAGATAGTCAAGTAATTATTAGGTTAAATATCTTTAAATATTCTGTCGTTTGCTATATATGTGTTGTTGATAGTAGTGAATATGTATTTCAAAAGGTAGATCTACAAATGTAGGTTTTAGCATCCTGCATTTTTTTGTAATTCCTAATATTTAGTATTAATATCAATATTAGGATTTACTAATTTTTTAAGGTAAGTAGTAAGGTAACAATTTATAAGCGCTGAATATGAACAAACAAATTAAGTTGAACATTACTAAGTTTATTTGTTTGTTTAATTTCAGCTCATATAAATTGTTCGCAACCACTTACATTAAAACATAGTAAATCCAATTAATTATTTTTTTTCATTGTGCATCTAATTGGATTTACTCTTCTGAAGTTAAAACATTGTCTAAAAATGTCTAAAGCATCCTAGCAAGCATTTGTTGTTTTCTAAAAGAAGTCTAGTAGATGTCTAATAGACGTCTAAACATAGTCATCTTGGCTAAAACAAGGCTGAATTTGGGCTGTCAGTGAAAATCTTATGGACGTCTTAGAATAGGCCAAAACTAAACTAAACAGAAATGTACGACTACACATATAAAGTTTGTCTAATTTGTCTGTTTGAGGAATGGTCTTGTTTTGGGCTATTCTTAGATGCCTATTGTCTTTTCACTGCAGCCCAAGTTTAGCCTGGTTTTAGCCAAGCTTTCTATGTTTAGATGTCTTTTAGATGTCTAATAAACACAAAATTGTTTGCTGGGACGGCACTTTTTTCTTATTTTATGCAACAACAAAAAGCACTGAACAACAATATTTTTATTTTAAGAATTTATTTGAAAAAAACATGAGTACGTTTAGAATAAAACATCAATCAGGCTGTTTTACTGCAACACAGATATAAATAGTAAATCAGGAGATTTTTTTAAGTTGTCTCTTAATTTTTTCATAGCTGTATATATAAAACATGTTTGGGGTCTTTATTTTTTATTCATTTTTAAAGAAGTCTTTAGAAATCACACGCTCCAGTGTCAAAGTCATTCTAACATGCTGATTTCGTATTATTGCCAATATTCAGAACAGCTGTGCTTATTTTGTGAAAACCACAATACAGTTTACATCGATGAATATAACATTATTTGTAAATTGTGCCCCAATACCCTAAATTAAGGGCAGTGACCATGTCTTTAACAAATTGTTTTCTAAGGTGTAAACAAAAAATAATGTAAATACTAAATCAGAAGTACTTATTTTGAGGTTTTTGCAAAGAATCTTATAAAAGTTG